ATTAATTGTTTAATGTGGCAGTTAAGTCCTCCCTACCACTAGAAGCATTTACTGTTCTCGGGTCAACGTGAAGAAAACCTGGGAGCAGCATCCAGCCCTGAGCTTGGGCGCCCCAAGCTCTCACACCCATGCAGGTGACTCATAGAAGGGCAGGAAATAAGTCTAGTGGCAGGACTCATGGTTCTTCCTCACTCTGGGTGGAATTGCAGATGGCAGAGCGACTCACCTGCACCAGGGGGACTGTGCTTTGTGGACATTTGTTTCCCTCCATTGTGTGCGAGTGTGCGCTCATGATGCAGCAAAAGTAAGATGATTTCTCCCTGTAGGTGCAAGACAAACAGTGTGAACACTATTGCCAGCACCGTCCCACCTGAGAAGTACCCACACTCAATCCACCACTAAAATAGCTGTACTATTTTCAGTACTTGGAGGGAGGGTAGAATTAAAGACTTTAGTTTATGTTCAAAGGGTTTTTTTTAATCTTGAAGATGAAATGGTTTAAACTCGTAAAATATGTGGCTACAATGACAAACGGCAGGAAATGAAACCCATGTTTTTCAGAGTGAGGGTAGGGCTGCATCTTCCTAGCTGAGTGACAATTCCTCATCAACCCCCTGAAGTTTCTAATACCTTTTTTGATGTTCTTTTTTGAAATGAAATTCAAATCTCATTTTCTCATGTTCACCTGAGAAAACTCGATGTTTCTTATCCCAACATAAAATCTCAGATACCTCATGTAAAATATTTTTGCTAATATATCTCTGAGGGCAAATGGGACTACATCAAACTAAAAACCTTCTGCACAGCAAAAAAAAAAAAAAAACCCAAAAAACCAAAAAACAAAAGCCATCAACAAGCTAAATAACAAAACAAACAAGTAAAATAAAAACAAAGACACTGAAATAGAGAAGGGGGGGGAGGGGGACAGCGACCAGAGGGGAGAGGGGAGGGAATTTCAGGGGAAAAAGGGGAGGGATTTAGAGGAACTAGTATAAAGGACACATGGACAACAGCTAAGGGGGGTGGAAATGGGAAGAAGGTGGGGACCATGGGGGGGGGGGGGGGTGGCTGGGAAGGGAGTAAAAGGCAGAAAACTGTACTTGAAAAATAATTAATTTTTAAAAGGTAAAAAAAAAACCATCAACAAAATTAAAAGGTAACCTGCTGAATGGGAGAATATATCTGCCAGTGATACATCTGATCAGGGGTTAATTTCATATATATATGAAATATATATATGTTTCACAATTAAGAAATGGGTAAAGGACCTGAATAGACACTTCTCCAAAGAGGATGTACAGATGTCCTATAGACATTTAAAAAATGGTCATCATCATTAATCATCAGAGAGATGCAAATTAAACCACAATGAGATATCAACTCACATTTGCCAGAATGACTACTACCAGCAATAAATCAACAAACAGCCCTGGCTGGTGTAGCTCAGTGGATTGAGCATGAGCTATAAACCAAAGAGTTGCTGGTTTGATTCCTACTCAGGAAACACACCTCTGTTGTGGGCCAGGTCCCCTGAGGAGGCCATGTAAGAGGCAACCACACATTGATGTTTCTCTTCCTCTCTTTCTCCCTCCTTTCCCCTCTCTCTAAAAATAAATAAATAAAACCTTTAAAAAGTAAATAAAATAAATCAACAAACAACAGTACTGGCAAAGATGTGGAGAAAAGGTAACCCTACTGCACTGTTAGTGGGAATGCAGATTGGTACAGCCACTGTGGAGAGCAGTATGGAGTTTTCTCAAAGAATTTAAAATGGAACTGCCATTGACCCAGCAATCCCACTTCTGGGAATATATCTTAAGAATCCCAGAACATCAATCAGAAAGGATATATGCACCCCTATATTCACTATAGCATTATTTACAATAGCCAAGTTCTGGAAACAGCCCAATTGCCCATCAGTAGATTAGTGGATTTAAAAGCTGTGGTACATTTACACAATGGAATACTACATAGCAATAAAAAAGAGAAGGAACACTTACCCTTTGGAGCAGCTTGGATGGGACTGGAGAACATTATGCTAAGTGAAATAAGCCAGTCAGAGAAAAATGCTATACAGTTTCACTCATATGTGGAATATAATGAACAAAATAAAACCAGAGACATGAATACATGGAATAGACTGACAGATATCAGAAAGGAGGGGTGTGGGGGTGCCAAAGGAGATTAGCCAAAGAATATCTATGCATATACACATAACCCATGAACACAGATAATGTGGTGAAGGCCAGGGCTGGGTAAAGGGGGGGAAAGTGGGGAAAAATGGGGGACATCTGTAACAGTGTCAAAAATAAAAAATAATAACTTTTATATATTCTTTCTGTCTTTTCAGCAATTTTATATCTCATCCTTTAAAAATCATTTTATACTAGTAAATTTGTTTTGTTATAATTCAATAACGTAATTTGTAATATATGTTTATGTATAGATTTGTGCCTTATTGTATCTGTGATAATTCATAAACTTTCCAAAAGCAAGTAATATGTTTCTCATTTCCTATTTTTTTGTTCCTTTGAGACATTCCATATAGCTTTTTAACAAACCAATACAGAAATACAAACTTACTGAGCTCCTAAATCCAGAAATTCACTCACGATTTTTACTCATGTGCTAACAGGTATCATTAAAAGTCGAAATTCAGAAGGTGTGGGTCTAGCTGTAGGACCTTCACACGTGCAATTTCTTTTCCCCTCTTGTGTTAGGCAGGTTCTCTACCAGCTGTGACAGTACACATGGAGAAAATGCAGGCACCTCTCCTGGTCATGGTCCACGCCTCTATAAATGCAACAGATCACAGTATTTGTGCAGGTGTAAGGCAATGACCACCAGTGATGCCTCTATCCTGAGGAAAGAAAGGAGAAGAGTCCCAATGGTGATCTGAGGTCATCCATAGCCCTGCACTCCAAGGAAACTTCAGAACTCACATGGGTCATTAGTACAGACACTGAGGTGTGCCATGGGCATGCATCATCTCCAATCCCATGAGGTCCAGACAGAAAATGAGGACCATGAGAATTTGTTCCCTGATATAGTAAGGACTTTTCCTTTGTAGAAGCAAAGTTGGGACTCACCCCATTGTTATTTCATAAACATAAATACTGCTGGGTCATTTGCTCCCTTTCCCTGCTACCAAGAATTATTTATTATTTGTCCAAAAACAATTGAGGCAGAATTAATCCCATCCTACCTGGAACAGGGTTGTGTTATTTTTTTTTTCTGCCTTGGATCTACTGAGAATATAGTAGAATTTGGACTTTTTTAAGGGATTTTATGTATGAAAAACAAATAACCCATTGTCCTAGATAATGGAAAAAATTTATAGGTGCATCGATTAACATTATTATTACTAATTTAAGGAGCTAACAGGGTGAACTATGTTATTTTAGTCAATTATTTAGTTTTATTTGGGGGTTTTAAAGGAAAATGTCAGTATATGTCAATTTATACTTTTCACATCTATTTACTTTCTTTTAAAAATGCTTAAATTGAATTCATTGGGGTGACATTGGTTAATAATGTTATGTAGGTTTCAGTTGTACAATTTTGTAAGTAATGCATCATCTGTATGTTATACTGTGCATTCACCATCCCAAGTGAAGTCTCTTCTGTCACCATTTATTCCCCCATCCCTGTTTCCCTCTGGTAATCACCATACTGTTGTCTGTGTCTATGAGTTTGTTTGTTTTGCTTAATCTCTTCAGTTTCAAAAACTGACTAAGAGGATATCGACAAGTATCATGAACCCCTGATTTATCTGACTGTGTATATATGACCTGTCTTAATGTTGTTGCAGAGGCAAATGTGATATCACAAGGCTGAATATTTAAATACTAATATAGTAAATAAGTGAATAAAATTGAGTTCTTGCAATCAACCAAACAACACCAGGGCAAAACTATGCTTAACTTTGAGTCAATTGAGTAAGGAATATGCCAAAATCTGGGTACTTTTGGGTAGATACAATGACAGAATTAGGGCATGAGAATATTGCATGCAGGTGGGTATGCAAAACCTGTAGATGTGAGAATGTGCATCCTAAACCACATGCACCTCACCCTGCCCTCTTCTTTGTGCAGTGGCAGAGCAACTGTCCAGAAACATGCACAGTGGGTCAGTGCTTGGAGAGCAGGTGGTTTTAATAAATCTCAGTGTCCCAATTCATCTGCCCTTTGAGACACTAACAGTTGCAACTATCATTCGAAATTAGCTTCATTCCTTCTGCTGGCTGATAAAGCTGTTTTACTGCCTGCTCCCTACCAGCTCCACATACTGCCATCCTCCAAGTACCCTGTATTCAAGGCTCTCCCAACATGCTAGAATAACTAGCTGTTTAGTTAAGTCACTCAACAAAAACAGTTGCTCCATTGTGGAGTGGCAGTGAGTGAAACTATTGAATTAGATTTAAATAAATCATCCAGTTTCTGATAAACTGTAGACATAGAAACTAAGCTCTAATGCTAGGGGGTGGCTTTTTAGTCATTCTTTATAATAATATAGAAATATATGGGCTAGAAAAAGTCTAATGCCTAATCACAGAGGAGCACAGGGTCACAAGGGAGTGAGGATGAGGAGGGGAGGTGGCAGTGCTGTAAAGTTCAGATGAAAAGGGACACATGGAGCAGGAGTCAATTTTGTTTTAAAAAAAGGTTTTAGTGCATAGAATTTTATGAACTATGCCCCATGTTTCTAGTTAATACAAAAGAGGTGGTGTGTGCTGTGTGTTTGAGGTGATGCGTGATTCGAGGTGTCATTGTGTTGTCATAGGGAATCAAAGCTACAGGTAGCTCTGTGGGGCAAGGCCTGGACATGGCAGCTCATTTTGTCACTAGACTTCATCACCTCTGCAAACACAGCCTTCTATTCAAATTTTCTCTGTACCTGAGTTGATTTTACTCATTTAGCCCTTGACATTAAACTTTATGGGTCAGTGATGACTTATAAATAATAATGATACATTTCACAAAACACTTTCAGCTCAGCCATTTAATTCTGAAACCCTAGCAATACAATCATTTATTTATATAGCAAGTATGCAGTGAGTAATATGACTGACAAACCAGTATCTGAGGTGCTTGGGCAATGCCCACAATGCTCCTATCAACAGGCAAAGACCCCTCCCCACAGTTCTTACACTCTATCAAAAAAAAGGCAAAACCAACCAAATGAAATGAACTAATGAATAAGACAGAAATGGAACACATTACAAATTGGCAAACAATATATTGGAAAATAGAGCCTCCATTGGGACTAGCAAATAGTACTGGGAGAGTAGGCCTGGGGAATGGCTGTACAGTTCTCACTTAGAAGATGGGTTTGAGCAGGCTTGAAGGATTCAGGGAATGAGCAGAGGAGACATCTGAGGAAAGGGCACTGCAGGTAGAGGGCACAACTGGGAGAAAGGCCTGATAATGGGAAGTGACCAGCAGGGACTCAGGGTTGGATTCAGTGGGATGAAAAGGAGAAGAGGGGGGAGACAGTATCGGAGAAGGAACTGCATTCACACCTGAGGGCTCGCTGTAAGATTTTGGCTTTCTCTTTGAGTTGAATGAGGGGTCATTGTGGTGACACTACCATCTTGGGCACTAAAAGGATGAGCCCAGCTGCTGCACTGAGAAAAGATGCGAAAGAGACCAGGGTACACCTAAGATTACACTGTTAGAAAACTCATGCATTAACTCCAAGAGAAAGGAGGGGAGTTCAGGCCAAAGGTACAGCAGGCAGAGGTAGAGAGAGCTTCCAGGGCTCTGGTGGTGTTGTAAAGGGAGAGCCATCAGCATTTGCTTATGGACTGAATGTGGGACAGTGAAATCAGCTAGATTTTTGACTTGACCAATTGAAAAAATAGTTGTCATCCATTTAGATGGAGAAGGCTGTGTGTGTGTGTGTGTGTGTGTGTGTGTGTGTGTGTGTGTGTGTTCATTAGAGGAAGACTTGGGGGGCAGTTTAGGGCCAAGTTTTAGGTATATTGACTTAAACATGCATTTGATACAAGCGAATAGTTGAATTACACGTCTGGTATTCAGGAAAAACAATGAAGAAGAAAGTAAAAGGATGGTCAAGAAATCAATACGGATTTAGAGGATTTTACTGGTAGTGAACCAGAATTCCAGAGAAAACATTAGAGGCCTTTTAGGATTGGGATGAGAAGGAGAACGGTCATATTAGGAGATGCACAAAACTTTGTGGCTCTTCGAATCCAAAGGAAAAAGAAAGACTTAATTTAATGACTCAAATATATTATGATAAAATGCACATTTAGATGCAAGGATTCAAGGGAGATGGTGGAGACAAGGATATTAGCTTTCAAGGTTGAGGTGGCATTTCTGGGATCCCTGTTCATCCCTTAAAGTGGGTAGGAGGTCTGTGCTGTTGGATTCCTCCCCACACATTAGGCTTCCTCATCCTGGTGAATGGAGCCCTCAGGAAAGTGGGATCTGTGCTGCCCAGTTTCCATGAAGAAGGTGTTGTACTGTTCTGAGTATATGTTCTACATCATGATTCTTGTCACTCATGGCCTTGCGATGACACAGGCACTCAGCTGCTAACCCCTGATGATGGAGAACCCAGATCATGTGTCTCTTTCCTAACCAGATCACGCATGGGCAGGACTTGGGGCATGCATGGTCTGTAAAATAGCAAGAGAGATGTAAGTTCTATCATCTACCTTTGCAAATGAGAGATGGAGAATGGAAATGTCTGCTTAAGATCAAATACAAATATAAGTGTATTAAACATGAATGTAGAAATCTTAGTTTAATCCAGTATTCATCAATAATTAAAAGAAATCCATCTGGAAATGGAGTTTGATGAGCTTGCTCCACTTCTAAAGTTATTAGTCTCCATAATGCTTCTCCAAGTGTAAAACACCTAGAAAACAATGTTTTAAAACCTAGAAAAAAATTATTAATAGTGTTACTGGGAAGTAAGCGAAAAGATTTTATTTAAAAAAAAGATCCTGGCCCTGGCTGGCGTAGCTCAGTGGATTGAGCAGGGGCCTGTGAAGCAAAGGGTTACTGGTTCGATCCCAGTCAGGGCACATGCTTGGGTTGCAGGCCAGGTCCCCAGTAGGGAACAGATGAGAGGCAACCACAAATTGATGTTTCACTCCCACTTTCTCCTTCCCTTCCCCTCTCTCTAAAAAATAAATAAATAAATAAATAAAATATATTTTTTAAAAATCTCCTGGAAGAGATAAACACTAAAAATTCCAGGTGGAGTTAGAGGAGGATTAAAGTTTTGGCAAAATTATTAGCATAATGTTAAACAAATTTACATTAGTTAATCATTGTTTAGCATTTAAACATTTAGCATTTAAGTATTTTAGCACTTGGTTAGCAACTATTTATTAGATACAGATACACAAAAATAGAGTGGCAAAGTTAGCTTTCAATGACAAGAATTTCATTGGGAACATACAGAATATACTTTAAAATAAGTTAAATATTATTGTTTCTTCATCAGCATCATCTTTACATTCAAATTAGGTAGCAAAGTTGAATTTTAACCAATCACATCAATCATGACCTTAAAAATTTACCATAATATTGTGAGGTCAATATCATTGTTCCAGGTATAGCTGATAGTGAGGAAGTTATATGTTTGAGCTCTGACAACCAATAAAGAGCTAGGTCAAACTACTTGAATCATAGTTCTAAGAAATTCCTACCCTAAAACATGTATGCAAAGATAAAGGAAAAAAACTGTATTCCCAGAGGGGTATGATGTGGGTTTAATGATGTTAGATTCAGAGGAATGGGTTTCAAAACCCTCAAAAATTATTCCCAGAATGGAGAACTTAAAAATAATCGAACAGTCATAGCAATTATAAATCTATAAAGGAATGGTTCTCAATAAATTAATCTAGAATGAAATGGAAGGTAAAACAAAACAAGCATCACACAAAAAAAGTAAGAAGCAAGAAACAGAGGAAGAGAGGGAGACAAATAGACACAAAGCAAAGAAAAAGAAGAGAGAGAGGGAATGAGAGAAGAAAAATAAGGATTGAGGAGAAACATAATCATGAGTGTGATGCTAGAATAATATTGGACAGTTCTCAATCTATTTTAAAACTGCCATTTCTAATTGTTAATATGTGGAAGACTTGAAATGAAAGGATATCGAAAGGAATGAGAAATTATAATGAATGTGTTGATGTGTTTAATATAAGATCCATTCATTTGAAGACAATAAGAAAGCATGTGGAGGCATCTGGATAAAGACTGTTGAGAATATTCCATTTCTAATATTACTATATTTCACAGTGCTCCTTCACAAGTGCAAATATTTCATATTTTTCTTTTGTCCCTGTGGGAAAAGTTCCATAGCAACAATGACTAAAGTGCTGCCCTAAATGGGGACATTTTTATATCCTCCACTCCACTCCACTCCAGCAAGCTGCTATTCTCAGTGCAGAATTTTAGGAATGGTTATCTGCAGCATTAGAAGCAGGGTCAGGATGACTGCTGGATGCAGAAGTTCCTGACTCTACTTCTGTCATATGTGGCAAGACAAGGGGAGTCATGTCACAGATGAAAAAGTAAGGTCGGAGAACACCAGTGAACAGTTGACTAAATGTGTAGATGTAAGATCCATTTGTGATGTTATAAAAGGAGATTTCACCTGCTTCATAGTCCAAGAAAATCCCAATGCAACAAGGCCGTTCTAGGTGGATGAGAGGCACCGATGGGGAGGCAAGGACCATGTACTCATCACCTTTCAGCAGCCACATGGCCCAGACTCCGTTCTCAGGAGACGGTGTGGTTTCTCCCTTTCTTGGCACTGTGTCTTGACAGACTCCTAAACCCCACTCTGCTTTTTCTCCCACTAGGACTTCCCAGTAATGCCTTCCTGATGAGAAGTTCTGCAAACCCAGGACACAGGGCCATGTATCAAATCGCTCAGGGTTGTTGGGGACATCCCTCCACAGTTCTGCATCTTGCACACTGTGTAGGTCAGCGGTCAAAAGAAGGCTAGGGTGTGCTGTGGCAGGGTCCAGCTTCACATCGACTGCAGAAAGGATTTTGTGGGACATGTAAAAGAATGGAAAACACTGGTAAACACTAAGGAAGCCATAACACTGAGGAGAATGATCACAACATCCCTCATTCCCTCTTTAACAGCTTCTAGAGAAAACACAGTAAGCATTTCCCCTTGCAGGTCAAAGAGAACATTATTCATTCTTTTGGGTGTATTCCAATGGTACTCCACACCCAGGGCTCACTTCTGCTGCATGAAGGCAGAATCACTGTTACTGACTAAACAAGTGCATGACCATTCACACCCAAAGCACCTTCGGGCTCTGAGCAGTATCTCTTTGCATTTAAAATGAAATTTAAAAACCACATAGGCTGTATTTTCTTTATTTTCAAAAGCTATGAGAAAATTTCATTTATATAAAATCCACCATTTTCAAAGCTGTGTTATTGTGATAGGCAGAATTCTGAAATAGAACCCATTACTTCAGACCCTGGTGGTACTTTCATGATTGTTATACTCTATGACAAGAGGGAGATTATCTGGGGTGAGTCCAATACAGTCACATCATTTTTTAAAAATATTTTATTTATTTATTTTTAGAGAGAGGGGAAAGGAGGGAAAAAAGAAAAGGAGAGAAACAGCAATATGTAGTTGTCTCTCAGGTGCCCCCTACTGGGGACCTAGCCCACAACCCAGGCATGTGCCCTGACTGGGAATCGAAGCAGCAACCCTTTGGTTTGCAGGCCAGAGCTCAATCCACTGAGACACACCAGCCAGGGCCAATTTTTTTTTTTAATCAGAAAGATTTCTCTGGTTACTGTGCTGATGGCAGAAGAGAAGTCAGAGAGATTTAAATTTGATTTGTCATCACTGGCTTTAAAGATGAAGGGGAAATCCCATGAGAAGAAAGGCAAGTGACCTAAGGTACTGGGGAATCTGTCCTACAGCTGCCTGGAAGTGCTTTATGCTACCAAGTGATATAAGCTTGGAAGTGATTCTTCCCTAGACCTTTCATAGACGTCTAGTGTGGCAACAACTTCATTTTGATCTTGTGAAACCCTAAACAGAGGAGCCAGCTGACCCCAGCTGGAAGTCTTATCTGCAGAACTAATAAATGGGTGTGGTTTCAAGCAGGTAAGTCTGTGGCAATTTGTTAGGCAGCAGTGGGATACAAATACTGATACTGGGAAGTTCCAGTGAGATTGATATGAAATTTTATTTACACACATTATTAATAAGTAAAGCTACACATGGAATCTCCTCAATGAAGAAGGAATAATATAAAATATTCAGTGCTTTCTCTTTATAAACACTCAAAAGTAGTAAATTAATATAGTTTCATTTTTAATATCACAGTGGCAAACATTACTACTGTGATTGCTATTATTTGTCTCTAAACCACGTCTCATAATGTTTTGCTAATATTCATACCTAAGCGAGTCATGCAGGTAGCTCACCATCTATGCTCACACATGAAACCACCTCAAGGTGGCTTTATCACCCCCACATTATAGACAACAAGACTGAGTTAAGGGCTTCATGTGATTTTCCCAAACTCTAGGAACTGAAAATAGCAGGGCTTAAACAGGTCTCCATGGGGTCATTAAACTTGTTTGACATGTTTTATCTCACACATCAGTCCTGCTCCAGCTGCCTTCTTTGTTCCATTTATAAGAAAAAGAGCTTGTACACTGGTTTTTAATGCAGTCTGTCTCCAACTCCTCTCTTAAACTCAACTGTTCACCATGACAGAACTATACACTAATCAAGCCACTCCTGTCCATCTCCCCAATGACTTCCAGAATAGTGTGAGATGATCTTATATATGACTTTTCTGTGGCACTCAACACTACTGAGAAACACTTTGTTCCGGAAAACCTCCCTTCTCTTAGCCGAACAATAGTCATCACCTTTCCCTCCCTCTCTACTCACCACCCCTTCTCGGTCACCTTTACTGCTTTCTCCTCTTCTCCTCCATCACCTCTGGAAAAGCCAATGGTCTCAGGACTGGAACCTCTTCTTTCTCAGCTCACTCCCATGTGTTCTGGCTGGCTGGCTCAGTGCTTTAATTGAATTTCAATCATTTGCTTACTGATTCCAAATGCACAGCTCTAGCCTAGATCTTCTTCTGAAACTCCATCTTAGTAAATTCAACTGACAACCTGATATCTACATTTGGATAGTCAACATTCTTTACAATACCTATATGTCCAAAACCAGCTTCACTCCTTCTGTCTTACCTGTAGCAATACTGTCAATGGAAATGGCAACTTCATTATGTCAATTCAGGAGAATTAAAGTTGGAAACTACTCATAAGTCTTCTCTTTGTCTGACATCTCATGTCTAATTGAGCAGCAGTTCTTCCCATCTTCCCAGCTCTGTCTTCAAAACATGCCAAGATCCTGTCTTTTTCTCAGCACCCCCAGGACAAATCCACAATCAACTCTGACAGAAGTATTACAAAGGTCCTAACTGCTTTTCCCACTTCAAGCCTTGCCCCTCTCTAACTGACTCTGAGTAAAGCGCACAGAGTGAGCTCCACGAAATGAACCAAATCCTGCTATTCCTCCACTTACAACTGTTTACTATTGCCTAGTTCACTCAGAGGCAAGGCATCCTGCTCAGTGGGCTACTTATAGAGGCCTCTACTCCTGATCCTGCAACCACAGCATGGGCCTCCTCACAAGTCCTGGAAGACAACTCCCATTCCTCTTTCTCTGGAAGGCCCTCCTCAAGATCAGGTGTTTGCTGCACTGTCCCTGCTAAGTGAGGTCTTCCTCAATTGCCAAAATCAAAAGTTGATGCCCTACTCCCAGAACTTCTGGTCACCCTTACCTTTCTCTTTGTTTTCAATATTCTGTATCATCTTCTAACAATGCAAAGGTATATTGAATAATTTAAGTAAATTTTGGCAACATGAAGCTTACATTTGTAGCATTTTTGTTGTTTTTCAATGATATATTCCAATGCTTAAAATAGTAGCTGGCATAATACTTTTAAATATTGCATATTTGCTTAATTAATTAATTATTCTGTAAATGACATTTGAAATATGAGGACATGGATTCTGAGAGTGTAATGATTAAAAGAATTTACACAGTTGTTATATACAAATTTGCCTATCAGAACATAGGTTAAGTCATTGAACAAAACTACTAATGATGGGTTTTCTCACAATGAAACAAAACTGCTATTTCCCATTGAGTAGTGAAACCCCTATACAGTTATAGTATATTTTCATTACTTGGTATAAGTTGGACTAAAAAAGAAATTAAAAAATTGAATATGGACTATTTTAAAGAATAACATAATTAGTCCTGGCTAGTGTGGATCAGTTGGTTGGAGCATCATTCATAAACTGAAAGGTCGCAGGTTCACGGTCAGAACACATGCCTGGATTGTGGGTCCAGTCCCTGGTTGGGGGCATGTGAGAGGCAACAGATTGATGTTTCTTTACCTCCCTTCTCCTCTCTCCAAAATTAATAAGCATGTCCTCAGGTGAGAATAAAAAAATATATAATCGGACAAAAGCAATTAATTTATGACACCATAATTATTCCTACATAATAACAATTGACTGAATATTTTTGGCTTTATGAACTCTCTAATTTAAGCAACTCATCAAATTGACAGTTAATAAAATAAACCAAAGTTAATATTTGATACTCTACAATGCTTTTATATTGATGCTCTTTATTCTGCTTTCAAATGTTTTATTTAGTCCTTCAGATATTGTTTTATCATTTTAATAAACAAAAATGCATATTTATTGGAGCTATTGTTACTCCTGTCACAGCTCCTGAGCCTGCTATTCTAACCAAATGTTTCATCTATGGCATCAGGGCTGTTCATACCACCCCAGTCCCCTTTCCTCTGGGCATGGTGCTCTTTCCCACCCCCTTACAGACTGGCATTGCCATGGGGCTCCCTTCCACCAATAACATTGTCAGGGAAGTTATGAGCACCATGCCTGTATGCATGCCTTTAGGAACAGGGCCTTGTTCACCATACTATTGCCCTCCTGCATGTCTACCGGCAACTGTAGGGACATGGGCTGTATGCATGGGCCCCACTACACTTCAGGTTCTGCTTTTACCTGCTTGGTGTAGAAGCAGTCAGGCACAAGATACCACACACCCCAACCCCTAAGATGAAACCTACCTTGGAACTTTCTCAACATTTCTCTCATCCCAGGGATGTGGCACATTGTCTTCAGCTCCAAGGGGATAGTCTCCAGCTCCAGCTGTGTAACACTCTTACTTCTGGGAAGAGCACACGACCCATAGTTCTCAACATCCTCCAACCTCTTCAGCCTCTTCCAACCCATCCTCTGCTCCAGAAAGTACACATACCTGCTCAAGACTCCTCTCACACCCTGGAAGTAGAAGAAAAATACAAGCATGTGTGAGTTTGATGTCAAAATTGCTTTTGACAGACTGGGGACTAACCATGAACATCTGTTTAGAAATTATTAAAAATCACTAAACTATGAAGATAAAGTATAAGAGACATGAATCTCTCTTAATAAAAAACATGAAATATGTTGCTGTTGAATTTTTTCATGAATTTAAAATAATAGAATCAGTTTGCTTCTATGGAAATAGAATTAGACTACAAAAAGTTTAAGTTAATTCTCATGATATCTACCAATTTTAATTATTTTGCAAATTGATAATTCTGACATTTGGATATTTAATAAAGTGTTACATTACGTAACAAATGTATGTAGAAATGGGGTAAAAACAGATCTTAAATATCTGCAGAATATGTTTGAGACACAATGAAAGGTATAGGCATAAAATATTACTTTCAATGTCTCTGTTTAAAAAGACACACAAATACCTCACTTTTTGAACCAACACACCTATCTATGGACTCATATGTGAGCAGTTTCCTATGTGGATAGAAACAGAAGTCATTAATATCTACCATTATTTTATCTCATAGTAGATTATTAAATAAATCAACTGTATTACATTTCTCCTTTCCCTCTAAAAAAGTTTACCTATCAGATTAATTTTTATAAAGTATGGAAATGATTAATTTTACTTTTTATGGAAGGCCTGGTTCTTGGCCATGGGATGTAAAATGTAGCTTATTGGTAATGGGAATGAAAAAGAGAGATGAGGATCAAAATAAAAATGATTTATTTGAATATATCTTCCCTAAAATTTGTATCATCAATCAATTTTAACATGTATTTGGTGCTAATGAATGCTCATTTTAAATAAGTTGTGTCTTGAGATATAAGAAAATGAATGTTGTTAAAAATGCTCAAGTTCTTGTGTTTACTTCCTGTATAAAATTTTTAAAAAATTCCTTTCTGACCTTTAGTTTGCTAAGAAGGAAATAGGTATAGCAATAATAAAAATAACAGTAATAATTTTTTACTTATCTGTAGGTATTTTGAAGAAAAAAAATGGGTGAAATTTAATATAAATGCTTTGTAAATTCTTCATTTAATTACTTCCATTGTGCTTAGTCACCATTCTTGTGGATGAGGATATGAATCCCTTAGTTTAGAAACCTCTGCATAAATCAATGGGGATGAGACAGAATAAAGCGTGCCCAGAAAATTTATATTACAGTGGTTCAATCACAGTGACATACATACATCAGTGAGGGCTTTCCCAATTCTCTGGGATTAATTAATGCCTTCACGGAGGATTAAAAAGAGTGTTTTCTCCCCCCTGTAATTGTTTATTCTATAATCCCACACAGAATGTGTGCAAACTGCATGGCACCCATGTACTTGCTGCTGTGCTGGAAGCAGGCTTGCAATTTGGCTTTTGCCTTAAATTTTAAGGTGAAAATTCCAACCCGGACTATTTAAAATTTATTTACATGCTTGTCTCTTGCCTGAGGCAGGTTACCAAAGATTTTCTGAATTAGCCATTGCTAAATACAGCAATATAGTCAATGACAGAATGTAAGGTTTTAAGAAGTGCCTTTTTTTTTGTCCCAGCCCTGGCTGGTGTAGGTCAGTGGATTGAGTGGCAGGCAGTGAACAAAAGGGTCGCTGGTTTGATTTCCAGTCAGGGCAAGTGCCTGGTGTGCAAGCCAGGTCTGGAGTGGCTGGGTATGGGAAAGGCAAGCACATATTGATGTTTCTGTCCTTTTCTTTTTCCCTTCTCTTCTTTCTAAAAATAAAATAAAATCTTTTTTTTAAGTGTTTTTCAGCCAACATAGTGTAGGTTGTCATTTTTCTGTTTAATCTTATGCAAATCATTTAGTTAATTTTAATTTTCAAAAATATTTAGGTTTTTCTCTTCAATGTGAACTATTATATGATTCTGTAGGATACCCTGAAACTGATACGGTTCCACTGAGGTCAAAGGTGTCCTTTCCACATAGTTGCAAGTGCAGCAGCTGTGGAGGCCTCACCTCCATCAGGTCCAGGGCCGGGCGCCTGCAGCAGTCGTTCAGTTCCTGCGCCAGCTCTGACAGCACCTGGCGGTGCTGCACCAGGTGTCTCTGGCAGTTGCGGAGTCTCTGCAGGGTGGCACGCTCCTCCTGCTCCAGCTGCCGCAGCTGCAACTGCTCTTCCTGGCCCAGGAAGCCTCGGTACTTCTCAAACTCAAGCCTGAAGCGCTGTCTCTGAGTTTCCACTTTCTCCTGGAAGTCGAAGCACAGCTGTTGTTGCCTCCCTGGATGGTGAGGCCTGAAAAGGCTGGGTCCTATGTGAGCTCAGCTCCCCGAGTCTGGGACCTCACTGGCTCATTTCCTTTTCTTTTTTTTATCCCTTTTTTTATTGTTGTTCAATTATAGTTGTCTCATTATCCCCCCATTACTCTCCTCAGCCCTAGCCACCCCCACCTCCCATATTCAATATGATCTCACCTACATGTGAAGCATAATCAACAAAATAAACATGCCAGCAAAATAGAACCTGAGATGTGGAAATAAAGAACAAACTGACAGTGACCAGAGGGAAGGTGGGAGGTGGGTAATGGGGGAAAGAAAGGGAAGGTCATCAAGGAAGATGTATAAAGGACCCATGGACAGACAACGAAGAGGGGTAAGGGCATTGAATCACTGGCTCATTTTAAAAACACGCAGGAACCACTTCCGCCAAGATGTAGGCGTAGGTGGAAACACTTTGCTTCCTCGCACAACCAAATCTAAAAACAGCAAAGTTTTAACAACAATAAATGCAACCAAACCACAGAAAATTGAACAATACGGAGTCCGACAACAATGAACCACTCAGCTAAACTGGTGAGAGGGGTGAAGCCAGCAGCGGAGCAGGTCAGGCAAAAAAGATCCCCAACCCGGTCAGCATACAGGCAGCCGAGGGCACGGATCCCAAGTGTGGGGTAGCTACGAGCGGACCCAGGGAAGGTGAAATGCAGCTGGCTGTCGGAGGTCACACATTTGTGCACAGATAAACCAGTGAAGAGACAAGCATTGAGACAGAGCAGGGTTGAGCAGGGTGGCGGGCTTCCACCTTTGCACTCAAATAAATGGGCGGGGGTGAGCGGTGAGGCAGACTGGGTGAGCTGAGAGGACCACCATTGCTCCCTCTCTGACCCTGCCCCCACATACAGCGCCACAAACCTGCGACCTGGGTGGCCCCGCCCCGGTAAACAACAAGGCGCCTCTCCTCATTCGTAACAGGCACAAACAGATCAAACGTGGCTCAAGAACAACTCAGAGCCCAGAACCAATAAATCTAAGCAAACAAGAAATAGCCAAACTTTCAGATGCACAGTTCAAAACACTGGTGATCAGGATGCTCACAGAACTGGTTGATTTTAGTCACAAATTAGAGGAACATATGAAGGCTAAACTAATTGAAATGAATAGAAATGCACAGGAAACCAATAGTAATAGAAAGGAAACTGGGACTAAAATCAAGGGAGCAGACCAGAAGGAAGGAAAAAATGACCCAACAGAAAAATATGAAGAAACAAGAATTCAAAAAAATGAGGAGAACCTCCAGGACATCTTTAAATGCTCCAACACCCGAATTATAGAAGTACCAGAAAAGGAAGAGGAACAGTCACAAGTGGAAACCTTTGAACAAATAATAAAAGAGAACTTCCCCATTCTGGCAAAGGAAATAGACTTCCAGGAAATCCAGGAAGCTCAGAGAGTCCCAAAGAAGTTGGACCCAAGTAGGAACACACCAAGGCACATCATCATTACATTAGCCAAGATTCAAATGAAGGAGAGAATCCTAGAAGCAGCAAGATCTAAAGTGACAGTCACCTACAAAGAAGTTCCCATCAGACTGTCAGCTGATTTCTCAAAAGAGACCTTCCAGGCAAGAAGGGGCTGGAAGGAGGTATTCCAAGTCATGAAAACCAAAGACCTACAACCAAGATTGCTCTATCCAGCAAAGCTTTCATTTAGAATGGAAGGGCAGATAAAGTGCTTCTCAGATAAGATCAAATTCAAGGAGTTCATCATTACCAAGCCCTTATTATATGAAATGTTAAAGGGACTTATCTAAGAAAAAGAGGATAAAAAAGATGAACAGTGAAAGGACAGCAAACACAGTTATTAACAACCACACCTAAAACAAAAGCAAATTAAGAGGACAGCCAGATCAGGTGTGAACCATAGAAATGAAGATCACATGGAGGGTTAGCAACAGGGGAGTGGGAGAAGGGGAAGGGGGAAGAAGGTACAGAAAATAAGTAGCATAGACGGTAGATAGAAAATAGATAGGGGGGAGGGTAAGAATAGTGGGGGAAATATAGAATCTAAAGAACTTGAGACACGTGTTCATGAACTAAAGGGGGAGGAATGGTGGGGGAGAGGTGTACAGGGTGGAGGAGAATGAAGGGGGAAATAGAACAAATGTAATGGCATAATCAATAAAATAAAAAAATATATTAAAAAATAAAAATAAATAAAAACATGCAGGAACCAGGGGCTGCTACATGACAAATGGCCCTACAGAGATTTCAAGCTGAGAGTTTAAGAAATACATAGATTTGGACTTGGGGACAATGCACTTTTACATTCAAGTTTCAGCACCATATACAAAATATGGGAAAAAAGGAGTAAGTGTATTAAAATTAAATGGCCACTAAATTCTCCAGTGCAGTCACTAACACAGAAATTGAAATTTACTATCAGACAAGTCACTAGAAAGAGCACTGCCAGGAACAGTGGGGTCATAAAGAGAGATCAGGGACTTCAGTTTGTATATACGAATAAGGAAAGGTTCAGAACTTAGAGAAAGTGAATGTCCCTTCCCATTCCTGCATCTGGGAACCCTGGGGCCAGGGTTCTCTGCAGAGCCCAGAGTGCTAAGTAGTCCAGTGACTGAAGATTTAATCCCAGGGAATTAATTTGATTTCAACTCAAATCTCGCCTCTATGGTTTTTTAAAAGACTCAAGGAACACACTGTGGTACTGCATTATTACATCTAAACTGAGTGTAATAGGCAAGCAATTCTACCACAGTCTCTCCACAATTTGAATTCCCTAGCCTGCTTTTAAATATGACATCTTTGCTTGATTAAAGAATATAAGCTATCACCTTTAAACATTAATAATAATTTTCCTCAAATCCCATAGGACTCAACTTCTCCCTCAATTTCCTATCTCTATATCTATCTACCACTTTCTAAATGACTAGATTTATATAAACCTCCCCTTTTTAAATGAACAAACTCTGAACTCCATAATCTAATCTAGAAGTACAACTCAGGTAATTTCTCCAGATGCTGGAGGCTATGTGGAGTGGGGGTGATAACTCAGTCACAAATGGGGCATGAGGGATGGTGTGGTGAGAAGGGGTTTGGCTGCCGTGCATTTTTCTTTCACATTATCGTTTTCAGTACTACAATTATAACTACACACATAGGCAGGAAAAAGGTTTTGTAGACTATTTAGAGTTCATGTTATTATACCTATGCTTGTGCGTTTAACTCACATGGATACATTCTCAACAATAAAGATCATGCAGATTTACTTGGCTTAGATCAGGAAACTAGCATCACCTCTACTTTAGAATAACCAGTGTAGATTTTCATAAATGCAGGACCAAGACTTCCGCCAAGATAGAGGCATAGGTGGAGACACCGTGCTTTCTCACACAACCAAGTTTAGAGACAACAAAATATTAGCAACAGAAAACACAGCCAGAACACAGAAAATTGAACTTTTCGGAAGTCTGATAACAATGAATTCTTCAGCCTGACTGGTAAGAGGGGCGAAACCAGCAGCTGGCAGAGCGGGATTGCACAGGAAAACTTGGCCAGACAGACTCAGATGCCCAGATCCCAGGCATGGGGTTGCAAAGGGCCGACCCAGTGAGCAACCTAGTGAGTGCAATCCAGTGAGCGACCTGTGGATCCGGCGAGGGTGAAGGGCAGCGGGTTGACTGTCCTGGCACAATCCTGCGCAGATAGAACAATGAGGAAGTGGGCAGTGAGACGGGACTGAGTGGGTCCCAGTGAAGGGAGGCAGCAGAGATGGCCGCCATTTCCCAGCTCTGACCCCGCCCCCACATACAGTGTCACAACCCAGCAGCCTGAGCGACCCTGCCCTGGTGAACATCTAAGGCTTGGCTCCTCACCCAGCAGCAGGAAGCAGGAGAGGGGGACGCCATTTCCCCACTCTGACCCTGCCACCACATACAGCATCACAACCCAGCGACCCCACCCTGGAGGCCCCACCCCGCCCCTAAGGCTCTGCTCCTCATACTTAATGGGCACAAACAGACCAAAAATGGCTCAAGAAGATCTCAAAGCCCCAGAGTCCATAACTCTAAGTGATGAAGAAATAGCCAAACTTTCAGATGCACAGTTCAAAACACTGGTGATCAGGATGCTCACAGAACTGGTTGATTTTAGTCACAAATTAGAGGAACATATGAAGGCTAAACTAATTGAAATGAATAGAAATGCACAGGAAACCAATAGTAATAGAAAGGAAACTGGGACTAAAATCAAGGGAGCAGACCAGAAGGAAGGAAAAAAATGACCCAACAGAAAAATATGAAGAAACAAGAATTCAAAAAAATGAGGAGAACCTCCAGGACATCTTTAAATGCTCCAACACCCGAATTATAGAAGTACCAGAAAAGGAAGAGGAACAGTCACAAGTGGAAACCTTTGAACAAATAATAAAAGAGAACTTCCCCATTCTGGCAAAGGAAATAGACTTCCAGGAAATCCAGGAAGCTCAGAGAGTCCCAAAGAAGTTGGACCCAAGTAGGAACACACCAAGGCACATCGTCATTACATTAACCAAGATTCAAATGAAGGAGAGAATCCTAGAAGCAGCAAGAGATAAGGGGACAGTCACCTACAAAGGAGTTTCCATCAGACTGTCAGTGGATTTCTCAAAAGAGACCTTCCAGGCAAGAAGGGGCTGGAAAGAAGTATTCCAAATCATGAAATCCAAAGACCTACAACCAAGATTGCTCTATCCAGCAAAGCTTTCATTTAGAATGGAAGGGCAGATAAAGTGCTTCTCAGATAAGATCAAATTCAAGGAGTTCATCATTACCAAGCCCTTATTATATGAAACGTTAAAGGGACTTATCTAAGAAAAAGAGGATAAAAAAGATGAACAGTGAAAGGACAACAAACTCACGGTTATTAAAAACCACATCTAAAACAAAAGCAAGCTAAAAGGACAGCTAGATCAGGAGC